AGCAACATTCATTCATCATTCGGGAGGGGCGATTATCTTTGTCCCCAGGCCTGACGGGCTAGCCAGGTCTTAAGGCTACTCTTACTGGCATCTGTCTTTTGCGGAGAGGAAAGGGTCTCATTTTCATACACATTGTTTCTTATTCTGTAATGGAATGTGTGGGTGACCTTGGGGGGTGGGGGGGGGGGAAGAAATGCTGCCTAGAAAATAACTAGATGAGACAGGTAGAGTTCTCTAGTTGATTAATGGACAGAGAAAGAAATTTAGGAAAGACTGCCCTAATTGTTCAGGTGGTTAAAAACAGTAGCAGGTTTATATCTCCGGATTGGCAAGATTCTGTTAATGTAGTCTTACAGTAAAGTACAATTATTTGTCGTGTTTTCTGCCTGTTGCACCCAGGAACTCTGATCATCTGAATTTAGCCCAGGAATAGGCCATCTCTACATTGCCTTGGTATTTCAGACCATTCATGAAACTATAGGAGCTTCATTTGCAAACATCTGGGAGTTTGACAACTGCTGGAAGCCTCGGGTCATCAGTAGTGAGAGATGCTGGCAGTCATAGTACAGCAATTTTCAGGATCCTGTAGATTTATTTATTTATCACTAGCCGATAACCCGGCGTTGCCCTGGTATTTATTTATAAGGGGGAAATGTCTGGACCAAAGGTAATTTCTAATGTTGGATTTTCCCCCTTACCAGAGGGAGCCCCCTGGTGGAGTACTGTGAAGCCATTATCATGGCACTGAACAGTAGAAGCCATTTTACAACAGTACAGTAGAAGCTATTTTAAGGCACAACAGGCTGTATCTTAACAGAACACCCCCCCGAGGGGTGTTAGGCCTGTCTTACCCCTACAGTATTTGTTTCTAGAGAGTAAGTCATCTGTGTACCAAGTTTGATTGAAACTTTATATATATATAAAGTTCTGCGCGAGCAAAAAAAAAAAACAGGCACGAGGCCGAAGACACCAGCCTTAGGATATGGATATGGATATGGATGTGTGTGTGTGTGTGTGTGCGCGCGCGTGCGTGCGTGCGTGCAGGTTTATATGCAGGTTGCTTCTCCCTCTCCTGACGCTCTACTCATTGCCTTATTTTTGTTTTTATTTATCTAATCTTTTGGAGGTGAAATTATGTTTCCATCATGCAACTGTTACTGCAGAGTTTTAGTGGGAAGTTCTCGCTGCTTTGTTAGAAGCCAGATGAGTTGTTTCCAGGAGAGGAAAACAGGAGGGTGGGGAACTAAAGATTTGCATTCCCTCTAAGCCCCCACTGAATTATTTGTTTGATCATCAAGGACATAGGCATTGTTTCTGGGAGTATTAATCCCGGGTAAATCCGTTCAAAACAAATTAGGGGGTTAGGAGGACAGGAGGTCACACACTCTGGAAATGCCTTTAGCCTACAGAGTGTTTGCAGTTGCAACACCTTGAAAAGGGTGTTAAAGGGAGCATAGTTTAGCTTAATTTAACCAAAGGTTTCCTTTGAAACTTAAATTACTTCTTTCTAAAAATGATTTTTTTTTGGCAGCACACACAGAGAGAAAAATCTAATTTACAGACATAATAGTACAGGTAGTCCTTGACTTGTGATTTATGACCACAAATGAGTCCAAAATTTAAGTGAGACAGTTTAAGTGAGTTTTGTCCCATTATAAAATTTTCGCTACCGGTTCTCTGGAACCTGTCAGAATTGGCTGAATACCACCTCTGGTGGAGATGATGGAAGAACCATGGCTTATGGTTTTGCTAGCTAAAGACCAGAATAAATAAGATTGAATGAAAACATGGTATGGGAAAATTAGTCAGTGCTTACAAGCAGAAATGAAGACTGTGTAGCATTACATAGGAATCCAGTTGCAGAGTTAAGATATTCCTTCTCCATAGCCTAAAATCGCCGGTTACTCCTTGATTCGAGGCCTTATTATTTCCTCTGAACCCTAAACCAAATTATGAAATGATGCTACTCACAATTAACATTACGCTAGACAAGGTCTTTAAATTAACCATCCCGGGAAACCATCAGCCATTTCTCAATATGAACAAGAATGAAACATTTTCTTGGTAGAAGCAACTGAAATATAAATCCTTTCACCCAGAAATAAATCCCAACCACAGTAAGGTGCAGGGATGTGTGGGCAGACAAGAGAGCCATACAACATTACAAATGTAGTCATTCTTCAAGAAATTGGGCATTTCAATGAGTTGAATGATTCTCTGGAAAATATCAGGATTTGGCCCTCCACCTCCACATCAGATAACCACGTAATATCACTTGCCATATGAGAAAGTCTTTTGATTCAGCTTTTCCTGAAAATGTAGCTAACTTGACATTCTTAAACAGTTAATTGCCCTTCAAAATTCTCACTTTGCTGAATGTTGCAATGCGGTTTTCTAGCTATTGGAGCAAGAATTAATACAAGCATATACAAGTAAGTCCTCAATTTAAGATCACAATCGAGCGCAAAATTTTTGATGTTAAGTGAAACATCTGTTAAGTAAATTTTGCTCCATTTTACAACCTTTCTGGCCACAATTGTTAAATTAGTAACACGGTTGTTAAGTGAATCTGGTTCTCCCATTGACTTTGCTTAGCAGAAGGTAGGCAAGGGGGATGACATGACCCTGGGACACCAACGGTCATAAATGTGAGTCAGTTCCAAAGTTTCTGAATTTTGATCATGTGATCAAGGGGATGCTACAACAGTTGTAAGTGTGAAAAACTGTCATAGGTCACTTTTTTCAGTGCTGTTGTAACTTAGAATGTTCATTAAGAGAACTGCTGTACGTCGAGAACTACGTTGGAGAAATGGACATTCACAAATGTGCATACGTGTAAAAATCCCATTAAATCTTGTTTCAATTGATTGCAAAATAATAATAATAATAATAATAATAATCATCATCATCATCATCATCATCATCATCATCATCATCATCACATTTTCACACAGAATCACCTGTTAGGAAAGCATGAAAGCAGAGGTGTAAAGCTCTGGAGGGGGGGGGGGGAAATCAAACCAATGCAGAAGTGGAAAGAAGTAGATTTTAAAATTACAGAAATAACTCTCTAAATGAAAGATTAGTTGGAAGCTCAACCTTCTTCTTTCATTTCAAATGTTTTATTTTCATTTTTCATTTTCATTTCATACAGTCACATATATACTGTGCATGATTGGGGCCATATAACATTGGGCAACAAGCACAGCCATCCTTGTATTCCCCAAAATACAAAACCAATATACCACTTCAACCCTCCATACACCCTTTCTTTCTCCCCCCTCCAACTTTCCTTTCTCCTCTCCAACATTCCCCTCTCCTACTTCCCCTCCCCCTCTAACACTCCTTTCTCGCCCTCCCTTCCATCTCACCCTCCTTCCAGTCCTCTCTCGCACCCTCTCTACCCCTCCCTCTTCTTTCCCTCTGCTCCTCGCTTCGGTGTATTTCTACTATCTATCGGTATATTCAGCTTCTTATTTTTATACTAAAATTAAAAAGAGCAACAGTATACAAGTGCAATCATGTTATTTTAAAATCTGGCACATACTATATTTCCTCCCTCCCTCCCTCCACCCTATGACCCCACCTCCCTTCCCCCCTCCCGACTTCCCAGAGCCCGTACACGGTATAGCTTTGCTCAACCTTCTTCCTAAAGGCTGGCTGGGTATCACTTTAAGAAAGAGAGCACAGGTTCTTCTGCTCTAATTTTACCTGTTCCCTGCAATGCCAGCAATGGAAGAGGGTGAGTAGACCAGCCAGGAGATGCCCAAAGAGAATGTGGATGTGGGAGAATGCCCAGCGATTCCCAACTCATGGTGCTGGCCTTAAATGTAGAGATCCAGTTGGTTTAGGTATGGAGTAAGATTACTTTTGATATAATGATACAGTGCATAACAAAGAGCAGGTGGTTCCGAGTTTGCTTGTTTTTAATTCACTTACCAGCACTAGGGAGTGACAGCTTCCTCCTAGACAAAGAGGACTAGATGCCATCAGATAAGTAATTCCCAGGGTAGGAAGCCCCCAGAGCCCACATCCCGACAACCTGCAACTTCCTAGTTGATCTTGGTAACTTGCCAAGCTCTTTTCAGGTCCTGTGTCCTTCCTTTTCTCCCACCCAGGAGGAAGTTGTCTGCCTGGAAAACAAACCCACGCATACAGTTACCTTTTTGGCCGAATAAAGTCCCACCCCTTTGATTGGAAGGAAGCACCAATGGAAGCATTCTTTGCCCAATGCAAACTGGAGCTGTGGGCAGCTCCTACAGCCTAGGTGGGACCTCAGGGAGAAATGAGATCCATTCTCCTGACAGGATGGTGGTGATGAGGATGAGAAAAGGCATTAACCTTGCTACTGCCATCTCCTCACCTGCTATCAGAGGTGGTATTCAGCAGGTTTGGACCAGTTCTGGAGAAGCGGTAGTGGAAATTTTGAGTAGTTTGGAGAACTGGTAAATACCACCTCTGACTGGCCCTGCCTCCATCTATTCTCTGCCTCCCGAGTCCCAGCTGATCAGGAGGAAATTGGGATTTTACAGTATCCTTCCCCTGCCACGCCCACCAAGCCACGCCCACAGAATGGTAGTAAAACATTTTGAATCCCACCACCATCTGCCATCTCAATGTATGTTCGGGAAAGGCAAATGCTGGATGAATACATGGGACTCCCTGTGGGTGAGTTCATGCATGTGTGACCTGAATCCACCATCTTCCCCCAATTTATGATCTACTACCCCTCTCATGCCTTATGTCAAAGGTTTCACGAAAACCACTACCTCCCATTCCAAATGATGTTGTCTTCTCCTAATCCCCACAACTCCTAATCCCTTTTGTTTGGGATTAGAATAGTCCTGTTTTTCTCAGGCCAGTCAACTGAAAATGAAGAGAACTGGAATCGCAGCTTTCAGAGAACCTCTAGAGATTCTCCTTGCTTTGAGGGTTGTTTTCTAAACATTTATGAGGCTGTACATTTTTAAAAAGCTTTGTGAGAAAAGAACAGGCCTAATAAGTTAACAAGAGACGAGGTGGCTCAGAGGCTAAGACGCTGAGCTTGTTGATCAGAAAGGTCAGCAGTTCGGCAGTTCAAATCCCTAGCGCCACATAACAGAGTGAGGTCCCATTACTTGTCCCAGGTTCTGCCAACCTAGCAGTTCGAAAGCATGTAAAAATGCAAGTAGAAAAATAGGAACCACCTTTGGTGAGAAGGTAATAGCGTTCCTTCAGCATTTAGTCATGTCGGCCACATGACCACGGAGACATCTTCGGACAGCACTGGCTCTTCAGCTTTGAAACAGAGATGAGCATTGCCCCTAGAGTCGGGAACAACAAGCACATATATCGGAGGGGAACTTTTACCTTTACCTTTAACAAGTTAACTCAAGATTGGCGAAGATCAACCTTAATGTACCTCCACCCAAACTCCAACATTTCTTGGCACCTTGAATTAAATAAAGTCTTTGAGAAAATCTGAAAATGTATTCCAAGGTTCTTCAAGGTTCTTCCAGCAAGTTTTCCGTATTCTGGGAGTTCTCCATTAGCATAGCTAACAGATGGGAATTCTGGGTGATGTTGCTTCAACACATCCAGAGGACACTAGGTTGGAGAAAGCTATGATAAAGGCTCAGCAAAGGGTAACTAAACTGTCACACTCTGCATTCATGATTCCTACTCCCTGGCAGCTACATATCTACCTCTGTATACAGGAGAAGGGACAAAGACATCCATTGTGCTGCACAATTATAATGTGCTAGCCTTGTTTGTCCTTTGTAAATAGGGCTTACTTTCCATTAAGCTAAATTAACTGAGTTTATTTACAACAGCTAGTGTATAAAGGTTAAAAACATATGAAGAACGGTTGCAGGAATTGGTTATGTGTGGTTTAATAAAAAGATGGACTAGGAGGTGACATGATTGCATATTCCAACATCTCAGGGGCTGCCACAAAGAAGAGGGAGTCAGCCTATTCTTCAAATCACCTTTAAAGCAGGACAAGAAGCAACAGATAGAAACTAAGCAAGGAGAGAAACAATCTAGAACAAGATAAATTTCCTGACAAATAGAACAATTAATGAAGTTGTGGCTGTCCCAACCCTGGAGGTTTTTAAGAACAGATTGGACAGATATTTTTCTGAAATGGTAATAGGGTTTCCTGCTTGAG